CCCCATTCACCTCCTGTGCCCGGCCCAGGGACCTAGTCCCCATTCACCTCCTGTGCCCGGCCCAGGGACCTAGTCCGTCTCTGTGTCTCCTTTACTGTGTGGTACTATCGGCTGCTCATGCGTCTACATAACTTACAGAGCTGTAACTCTTACAATCTCCAGTGAGGTATGTTCAAAGCCTAACTCGGTGTTACTCCCCCTGCAGCCTCCTCTTCCTCCCACCTTGACCATTTCAGGGAACATCTCCAGCCAGCCAGAGTCTACCATGGTGGGTGGCACATGAAATAAATGTTTATTTAACTGAATTGAGGATGTTAGACAGTTGGCAATTGCAGAAAAGAATGTTTTGAAAATACATAAATATGGTTCACTTTCCATATCCATTGTAATTATTTAATGTTTAGTTTGGTTATTTTTTAGACTTCATTACACATGTTTTCACACTCATCCATTCATTCAGCGTTTGTTTTGCATGTGTGTGAGTCAGGCACTATGTCTAGGCACTAGGGACACTGCTGTGACCAAAACAAAACTCCCTCCCCAGAGGAGCTTATGCTCCCCTGGAGAAGATGAACAATAAGCAAACAGTAAAGAATAGATGTCAAGTTGGCATCACTGCTCTGGAGAAGAATGAAGCAGGGTAAGGGCAGAGGACAGGGGTGCTGATTTAGGTAGAGTGGCGTGGACAGCCCCATTGAGATGATATTAGAGCAGACTTGAGCCATGGGAGTAAGTGGAGGAAGAGCCTTCTAGGCCCCAAGCAGCAAGTGCAAAGGCCCTGAGATGGGAAAGTGTTTTTCAGGTTTGAGGAGCAGAGGGAGGCCGGGGAGAGGCAGGCAGGCGGGGCCAGGTCACATGGGGCCTAGGCCACATGGTCAGGACTTTGGGTATTATCCTGAGCATCAAGGAGTGGCACAGTGTGACCTCCATATTAAAAGTCTCTCTCAGGCCACTGAGTGGAGAACATATACCATGGAGGCCAGGGGAGAAGCAGGGAGGCTGGTTGGAGGTTGTTGAAAGGTTAAAGTGAGAAATGATGGAGGCTTCAACTACCATGGAGGCTTCAACCTACCAAACCCCATCCCATTGGGGATTTAGGATTTATTTTCAAGATAGAGCTGATAAGATTTGCTGATAGATTCATTGTGTGCTATGAGAGAAAATTCAAGAATAACTCCAGGGTGTTGGCTGGGTTTGGCTCATTGGGGTGAATGAAAAGGGTGTTGACATAGAACCCCTTTGGCTTGGGAGTTATTGGCTGAGGTGGTCATCCCCTAGTTCAGTTCCTGGAGGTGTGTGAGCAGAAGTATGAGCTGCACGGAGGCCAAGAGCTGAGCAAACAGAGCATAGATCAGGGACGCAGGCTTGCAGAAAACTGGGGTGCCGGGAGATGTGGGTGCAAGGATGAGGCCAGTCAGCATGTCCTAGGACCCTGCCCTTCTGACCCCTACCCAAAGGAGCCTCCAAAAATCCTAACTGGTGTGATCTGAGCAGTTTGACTGGGCTTGTAACTTTCAAATATATTTCTATTTACTTAAGACCACCAAGACATTTCAATAATAATAGTAGACACATAAATAGGATGTTAACTCATTTGTTTAATCATTGTTCTTCCTCTGAATATTATCCAATTTAGTCTTTATCTCTGAAGGTTATGAAAAATAATTTTCTAATTCTTGATACCACTTTTATTTGAAGATAATCCCAGTGCTGAAGATAAGACTAATATCAGCATTACAGCATATGCCATTTTCGTTTTTACAGCACGTAAAACGTGCTATTTTGGAGTGTGTAGTTCAACATGGGGTACAGTAAACACTGTTTAATATTCATTCTACTATGTGTCTTTGATCTATGCCCTTGGAACTGAGCACCCAGGGCACATGAGATTATCAGTCTGAAAGGAGATTTTTAATTTGATGAATGTACAGTCTGCAGAGGGTCATAAATTATCACTCAGGGTACTTGGTTTGTTTGTTTATTCCTAAACTATGCTAGCCCTTTTATATAAGACATGTTTCTTTTGTACCAAAAATTAGGAGAGAATAAGTCACTCATAAACCATTAAATGCTGAACTAAAACTCATTCAGTGAGTGAGTGACTGAAATCTTGTGAACACAGCTATTCCTACCCTACTTTGGGCAGCCCCATTTGTCTGTCTGTAGAGAGAAAGATGAATTTATAAGTGGGCTTGCAAAATCCTCCATGTTTCCTATTTCCAAAAAGAATTGTATTCCTTTGAGGAAATTCTTGTTGGCATTTATATGTGCAGGGGGTGTTAATTCCTTCACTTAACAAATATCTTTTGTGTGCCTGCTCTGTGCCAGGCGCTGCCCTAGCCCCTGAGGAGACAGCAGCAAACCAGAGACTCATCCCTGCTTCCGTTCCACTGAGGAAGGAAGACCAGAGCTGGCTAGTTAGGAAGTTATTTCATCACTGCAGCGCCCACCTGGAGGTCTTCCTAAATAGACATTAGACTCACAAGACTTCCGTAGGGGCCACACCAGGGTCCTCGGGGCAGTCCAGCAGCAGCCAGGGACTTGTCTCCACCCCCAGCCCCCACAGTGACTGCTCAGGTGCAAGGGAGTGAAATCCATGTTGGTGGGTAAAGGATTCCCCTTGGCGTAGAAGCCCCGGGCCCCCCAGGAACCAACATCCTTTATAACAGCCCGATGGGCACAGCTCCTGGGGTCCCCACAAGAACCTGCCTGGTTGCAATAATCATGGCTCTAGAGAAGCTGAAAGCCCTGGCAAACCCACCAGGTGTTTAGAGCTCCTGCTAGTCCAGGTGCAATGTATCAGTCAGAGGTTATTTTTACCATAAGCCAATTTGCTGGCATTCCACCTTTATCAAGTTTCCAGGAAAACAGAGCCAGAAATTATTTTAAGGTCAAATTTGTCCTTAGAGAAGGAGAAAGAGTTGTGTTAACCTTCTGCTTACAATTATTTTGTCGTAAGTGCTGCAAAGGAGAAGTGCAGTATGAAAAGCATTTATGACCAGGAGCCGATGCCACTGCTGTGCCTGCATTCATTATGCAGCAAAAGTGAAGTGGTTTCAGCGTAAACATAGGACACTGACACCCTCTTCATTTTGCAGATAAGTCATCATGGTGAAAAGCCACGTAGGCGGCTGGATCCTGGTTCTCTTTGTGGCCACATGGAGTGACGTGGGCCTCTGCAAGAAGCGACCGAAGCCTGGAGGAGGATGGAACACTGGGGGGAGCCGATACCCAGGGCAGGGCAGTCCTGGAGGCAACCGCTACCCACCCCAGGGTGGTGGCGGCTGGGGTCAACCCCACGGTGGTGGCTGGGGTCAGCCCCACGGCGGCGGCTGGGGTCAGCCCCACGGTGGTGGCTGGGGACAGCCCCATGGTGGCGGAGGCTGGGGTCAAGGTGGTTCCCACGGTCAGTGGAACAAGCCCAGTAAGCCAAAAACCAACATGAAGCACATGGCAGGAGCCGCCGCGGCCGGGGCAGTGGTGGGGGGCCTTGGCGGCTACATGCTGGGGAGTGCCATGAGCAGGCCCCTCATTCATTTTGGCAATGACTATGAGGACCGTTACTATCGTGAAAACATGTACCGTTACCCCAACCAAGTGTACTACAGGCCAGTGAGTGAGTACAGCAACCAGAACAACTTTGTGCACGACTGCGTCAACATCACGGTCAAGCAGCACACGGTCACCACCACCACGAAGGGGGAGAACTTCACCGAGACCGACGTCAAGATGATGGAGCGCGTGGTGGAGCAGATGTGCATCACCCAGTACCAGAGAGAGTACGAGGCTTTTCAACAAAGAGGGGCGAGCGTGGTCCTCTTCTCCTCCCCGCCGGTGGTCCTCCTCATCTCTTTCCTCATTTTCCTGATAGTGGGATGAGGACCGCCTTCCTGTTTCACCATCTTCTTAATCTTTACCAGGCTGGGGAAGGGGGTGTCTCATTCTTGCTTCTCTCTTCTCACCCGTAGGCTAATACCCTTGGCACTGATGGGCACTGGGGAATGCAGAGCAGACCCGGGATGCTCTTTATTCAAGCCCTGTCTGAGTCCTTCGCGGGCCAGTGCCAGTGCCAGGCTGGAAAGAGGGTAACAGCAAATAATAGTTGGTTGAGCTGGGCTTATTTTTTGTCTAGTGCAACAGATTGAGGCTAAAACAGTTCTCAAAACAGTCTTCAAATACCTTTGCCTAAATACTTCCGGCTCCTTCCTCAGCTAAAGTTCAGTACACTAATGCCTCATCTTAGCAGTGATTTCGAGCAATTCGGAGAAGTTTTCTCATCCGTTTTAAGAAAACTTGACTGCATTTTCCTGTCCAAACAGCATTTCTGCCAAATTTGGAAGGAGCACACATGATACCCATTCAAAAAAAAAACTAGAAATCCTTAGCTCTTGGGCCCAGGCTCAGCCGGCTGGAGAGCGTGGGCCCTGTGTCTGCAGAGAACTGTAACAAGGTTTGCATTTTGCAGTATGGGCTACGCAGCAGCTGTTGCATCAAGAGTAAAGATGTGTACAACACTAGACCTCTGGGCAGAGGACGTTTTCACAGGGAATGAACACGACTATCACAATGTGAAAGGCTTCTGGGACTAAAAAAATCCAGCATTTGGAAGTGGTGCCCTTGGAGGCAAGCTCCCGTTCTCAATGTTTAAAGCACCTACATGTGGCATTCCTTTCTTTAGTAATTCAACTATAGATAATTAAGGCAGTAAAAAATTAAATTACCTCCTAGACACTGAAGCAAATCTTCGTTCGTTTACCTGGAAACGGGAATGATTTTGACGTTGTTTGGGTGAACCCAGGAGATTTTAACATGGAGCTGAAGCTGTAAAAACACCATTATCATAGAGGATTATGGAATGAGGAAAATGGTTAGTGTACAAAGAAAAGAAATGCTTGCATTTCTTCATTGCTGTCATAATTGTCAAAAACCGTAATTAGATTGAGTCTTTAATTTCTGTAATTGGCTTTTAAATCAAAGAATAGGGAGTTAAACCAAAAAAAATCTTAGATTGGAGATGATGGAAATATCCATTCAGAGTGGAAAAAGAAATTCTGTTAAATAAGGTAAAATTATCCCCTGGATCGTTCAATATGATCACCTAGCAAATATATATTACTCTTCTGCAATGTTATTGGCTTGCACTGTGTGGGTATTCTATCAAAAAATATATATATATATTGCATATGACAAACCTAGAAATTTTCGTTAGAGCAGTTAACATCTAAAGTATCTAATGCATTACCTGTTTTTGTAAGGTACTAAACACCTGATATGTGGGAAACCCTTTTGCGTGGTCCTTAGGCTTATAGCGTGCACTGAATAGTTTTGTATAAGGATCCAAAGTGGTCTTTGAAATATGCATGTACTTTATATTTTCTATATTTGTAACTTTGCATGTACTTGTTTTGTTGTATAAAAAATTTATAAATGTTAATATCTGACTAAAATTAAACAGGAGCTAAGATGAGCATCTTCCGTGGAGTTCGCAGCTGTATTCACTATGGTGCCCTGGGTTGGCAGGGTCATTGGGGGTTAATCTAAGCAAAGTGGTGCCTTCAGTGCCCACACTGCCTGTGATGGCCAATGTTTCATGTCCCTCCTCCTGATACTGCCCTCAGCCTTACTCCCAGCCACACACCAGTTGATCTCTGCTGCCTTGTCCTTTTTTCCACAAGTACCTAAGTGTGCTTGGCACTGGGTCAATGACAAAGTCACTACTGCAACAGAGAAAGACAGTCCTTGCACTCTGGAAGCTTCTTTCTGTCCTGGATTTTGAAATGGAGGATGTTCTTGATTAAAATGAAACTTAACAAGCTCTAAATTACCTATTTAATGCCCACCCCCCCAAATCGGGTCATGAAGTATCTCCATGGCCTGTAAGCCCCAGTGACAATCTCTCTCTCTGAACTAAAATTCGACCCCATAAGCCCAATAGGCCACTCTCATTTGTCCCAATCTTTCAGCTCATTCTACACGGTTCCTGCTTTCTTCCCAGGTTCCTGCCTTCTTCCCAAGTGCAAGGCCCCAGCCTGCGATGCTCTTGGTTTCCTGGGCAGAGGTTTTCTTCTGCAGCTGTAATTTACCAACAGCAGGAAGTAATCACAAGAAGTGACAGTGGTTAAAATCACAATATTTATTAACACCTTACCAAATGCCAATATCCTGCAGCAATCAGAGGATCAACTTAGCATTAAAAATGAAAAGATAAGAATCAACACCTTGAAACCCTATCGTTCACAAAACTACTAAAAGAAATGACATAGGCAAAGTCTCAAAAGCCTTACTCAAAAGTTAATCCTTAGGGCCGGCCCCGTGGCTTAGCGGTTAAGTGCATGCGCTCCGCTGCTGGCAGCCTGGCTTCGGATCCCGGGCGCGCACCGCTTCTCCGGCCATGCTGGGGCCGCGTCCCACATACAGCAACTGGAAGGATGTGCAGCTATGACATACAACTATCTACTGGGGCTTTGGGGGGAATAAATAAATAAAATCTTTAAAGATCAAATTTCATTTTAAAAAAAGTTAATCCTTAACATAAAAATTTATAACATTTCATGCTGCCTTTTTGGCCATATTTCTAATTATTTAAGCTCTTCAGTAACTGCCAATCATAATTTCTCAAAAATAGCCCACTGAGAAGACTTCACTCATTCAAAGCAAAGGTATTTCGAGGGCCAAAGTGAATAATATCCATCTGTATCTTTCTCAGGCCCCTATATTCTCTTTTTTTTTATATAGATTTTTTTTAATAATTTTTTTTATTCATTTTTCCCCCAAAGCCTCAGTAGATAGTTGTATGTCATAGCTGCACATCCTTCTAGTTGCTGTATGTGGGATGCGGCCTCAGCATGGCCGGATAAGCGGTGCATCGGTGCGCGCCCGGGGTCCGAACCCAGGCCACCAGCAGCGGAGCGCGCACACTTAACCGCTAAGCCACCGGGCCAGCCCCAGGGCCCGCCCTATATTTTCTTCCTTTTACTTCCAACTCCTGTGAGTTGTGCTAAAGGAATTTTTACTAAAAAATTAAAAATCAATTTAAAATGACTGACATAAAGTAACTAACCCTCACAGACAGTTCTGGAGAAGTGTCAGGTGCCACCTTGTTTTCAGTTCTCCCTCCCTGATGCTGAGACCAAAAAAGTGTCCTCTGCCTTCAGAGGGAAATTGGGGTGTGTACTGCTTCCCACCCTAGTGGGAGCCTTAATCCCGGCCAGAACCTGAGCTTCCCCAGGCACAGATTGGACCTTACATAAGCATGACTGACCTCAGCATTCTGTGATTTCATTTGCACCCAGGACAGGTTAGTTCCTCTCTGGCTTTTCGAAACTCCTCCCCCAGGATTTAGCTCGTCCTGTATTAACCTTACATTTCCATCCTTTGCCCAACCTCTGTTCTCCAGGAAGCCACACCTTCCATTGCACACACGCGGGCCCCGTGCTTCACCCCTGCTTCTGTACACCTGTCCCTTCCTTGAGAGCCAGCGCTCCTTTCTTGCCCTGGAGCAGGGCTCCTCAAACTCGAGTGCGCTCACCAATCTGCAGGTCCCGACTCACAGACCTGGGGTGAGGCCAAGATTTGAGAACGTTTCTCACAAGCTCCTCGATGATGCTGTGCTGGCTCCGTGGGCCTCACTGGAACAAGGCCCTCATGGTTCTCACACTTGAGCCTGTGTGAGAACCCCTGGAGGTTTGTTCAACACAGGTTGCTGGGCCCCACCCCAGAGTTTCTGATTCCAGAGTGCTGGGGTGGGACCTAAGAATCTGCATTCCTAACAAATTCCCAGGTGCTGCTGCTGCTGGTGGTCTGGAGATTACACGTGGAGCTCCACTGTGCTCCAGGAAGATGTGAAAGAAAGAGAAGCCCACCCAGCCCTGAAATACTCCCAGAGCTCTCCAGGAGACCAAGCACCTGCCTAGGAAATAGCCTGGGAACTCTCCCCGGAAGGAGGGGAGAGCTGGGAGCTCTAGGGATGAATGGCAATGGCGGAGTAAGGAGGTGATTGACTCCTGCTGTCTGAGAAGCGGGAAGCCCAGCTGAGTCCTGAGGCCACCCGTAGTGAACGATTCAGCTAAACCCAGAATGTTACCTTGTCAAAATGCAGGTTCTGAGACCACAAGTCTGAGGTGGGCTCAAAGATTCTGCATTTCTCCAAGCTCCCAGGTGATGCAATGCTGCTGGTCTGAGGACCACACTCGAAGAAACAAGGACCTAGAGGCACAAGTCATCTCTGCTAACCCTGGCCAAGACTTTGGGGATGTACTGAGGGCTCGGGAGCCTCGGGGTTGGGGGAGTAGCGGGTGGGGAGTCTTCACCTTCTCTTGATTTCGCCCTGAATGCTGCCTCTCCTGCTCTCAGAGCACAATCCCCCTGCCTGGGCCAGTCAACAGAATCAACCTGCAGGCAGTGGTGAGGCTGGCTAGGAGCTCACCTCAGAGCCAAGCAGAGTTAGTTGTCTGCCCGGGGGAACTCTCTCTGAGGAAGTTTCAAACCCTCCTGCTGCAACATCTTCACCCCAGGGCCCCTACATTCCTTAAACTTACAACAGACTTACTTGTTCTGTAGGAATTGCCCAAGACAAGGCCAGTGGGGCAGGGAGTTAGGCCTCTGAGGCCCTGTCACCCCCAGGCCATGCTACTTCCTCCGCCTGAGACGCTGGCTTCTCCACATAGCCCTCAGACCCAGGCACTGGGGGCCCTGCCCTCACTGCATGCTTTAAAGGGGCCCCTTCTAGGCCTCCACGCAGAGCCCACTGTCCCCCTCTTCCTAGAACTCATTCCAGGTACTGAGGATGTCGGAATTCTCTGCCCAACTGGCCCCGAGCCACCTTCCAGGGCCCGTACAGGCCTCGTATCTGTCCGACCTTCCACAGGTGGACCACAGGTGGACATACATCAATGGCCTAGAGGTAGCCGAGGGGTGGCTGTCTGGGGAAGGGGTGCTCAGAGCCTGGACACGTGGGCCTGGGTGTCCATGCCCGTGAATGCAAGGCCCCCACAAGGTGCTGGCTGGATTCAGGTTGGGGAGCAGAGGGTGGCCACAGGCTGGAGGCCTCCCTTTGGACTCTTCCTCCAGGGCCTGCATATGTTAGAGACAGTCCTGCCCTAAAGCTGCCAGGAGAAAGCAGTGAAGGATTTTGCAATAAAGTCATTAGGTTTTTTTTGTGTGTGTGTGAGGAAGATCAGCCCTGAGCTAACATCCATGCTAATCCTCCTCTTTTTGCTGAGGAAGACCGGCTCTGAGCTAACATCTATTGCCAATCCTCCTCCTTTTTTTTTTCCCCCAAAGCCCCAGTAGATAGTTGTATGTCATAGTTGCACAGCCTTCTAGTTGCTGTATGTGGGACGCGGCCTCAGCATGGCCGGAGAAGCGGTGCGTCGGTGCGCGCCCGGGGTTCTGAACCCAGGCTGCCAGTAGTGGAGCGCGCGCACTTAACCGCTAAGCCACGGGGCCGGCCCATAAAGTCATTAGTTTTTACAAACTTCACAAAAGTGTTTTCAGGAAAGTGTTTTCAAGTTCTCAGAGAGGCCAGGACAGGTCGTGTTCGGTTCTGGCTCACTCCCTTCTGAGGGGCCTCCAGGCAGATAAGCAGTAGACCTCACGCTGGTGCCTGCTAGCAATTCACCACCCTGGGCAGCTGCTCCTCACCTTCTTCCCAGGTCCCCACATCTAACTGGTCCCCCAGGCTTCCCAAGCACCTTTTTGATGAGCCTCTAGAAAGTGGCTGGTGCTGCAGAAATTTCTTGTAATCTGCTCAGATTTGTAGGATCCCACCAGTCAAACGACAACAGTCTTTTTGCTTCCACCAGGGAATCTGCCAACACTTGCTTCTAAGATCTGACCCTTAGAGCCACTGATGGTCCACCAATTTGATTAAAAAAATTATAGTGAGCCAGAATTTAAAAATTTTTTTAAATTATAGTGCTTCCATGCAATGGAATACTACACTGTAACTAAAAATCATGCTTTCGAAGAATTGTTCCTTACACGAGAAAGTATGTATAATATCATTTTAAGCGAAAATCAGAGGATGAACCTATAAGGGCAGTGTATCCATTTTTTATAAAGCAAAGAAATAAAATATAGAAATACACAGAAAAAAAATAACAGAAACATATAGGCTTTTTTTGCTGGGTGGTGAGTAACAGTTGATTTTTATTTTCCTCTGTATTGTTTTTATAGTCTCCAGAAAATTTACAGTGACCAAATATTGCTTTTCTAGTAAGAAAGAGATCAGTAACTATTGTTTTTAATTCTTCTCACGGCATGCACCCGCCTGGCCAGTGTGCCTTCAGGGACCTTGTCTGTAGCAGTTTCTCAGATTTGAGTTCAGTTTTTGCGGGTGTATCACGTGCCAGGCTCCGTGCCCAGCACTTGGCATATGTGGCCTTATCTGATCTTCATAAGATCCCCATTTTAGGAACCTGATACCCAGAGACATTCTGTCACTTGTCCAAGGTCACACAGATAGTATGTTCCCT